AGGATAATGAGGATCATACTGTGTTTCAATTTTTTTTGGGATCTTCTGTTTATGAAAGCTACTTGTACCACATCATCATTGGTTCAACTTACATGGGTGACGTACCTAGCGGCCTTGCACCTGGCAGTGGAGGCGGCAACAGCACCAGGGAAGGTCGGCCCAGTATGCTTCTGCGGTTGCCCCCGCCTTTACCAACTCATCGACTAGCAAGGTCTATTGACGAGTTCCGAGAGCAAGTGATTGCAAAGAAGGGCGGCAAGGGCAAGGGAAGGCGGGGGACACATTGAGAACACATGTTCATCTTTTGTTTATGCGTCTTGAAGTGCAACCAGCAAGCCACATGTGCTGTGCGTTCTGCTGACGAGGCTTTCTTGACTCACTTGCCTGTTGCAGGGGTGCCGGCAACCACTGAGCCGTCTTGGGAGCTTCGTAGGCATTCTCCGACTCAAGGGCGCGCCGGTGATATTGTCCGGCTGCCCTCTGGAGATACAGATAATTTCTGAGCTATCAGTAGCAAATCCTGAACAGTGGATGTTGCCAGTCACGTCATGTCACGAGCAATGGAAGTATTCACGCTAGATCGGCACATGAAGCTTGAGGGTTTTGATCCATGGCACCCCAGAGCTGACAGTCTCAAATGCTCGCAACACAACCAGTGTCATGCGGCAGATGAGTGGACATAGTTCAGCTCGGCAGCCTGCACTCAGCCTTTGAAGTAGGTTTTTGAGACTTGAAGGAGTTGGCCTGAACACCAAGCGTATAAGCCGAAGTGAACATGTTTCAAAATGGCAACAAGAAGAAGAGGGCATGTTCGCAGTAGTAAGAGCAGGGGTATCCGCAGACGTTTGAGCCTGGCGCTGCTCACTTAATCTTTCAAGAAGCCAAGCCATTTAAGAGCCGCTTGACATTCCTAATACTTACAATCTCGCCTGGGCCGGGTGCTGCTGCAAATACTTGTCCTTGAGCTTGGACTCATTACTCATACTCCTCGAGGATCCTGAATCAGGATTGCTCCGGCACGGTAGACGTCGCATCCTGCGCTGGCGCCAACACCATGATTCTGTGTGCAATGGTAGCTTTTGGTTCGCACCAACGGCTGAACGTGGCCAAAATTTGAAACGCAGTTTGGTTGAAAGGCTAAGGATGCAAGAGAGTTCTGTGCGCTGCGTAGAGGCAAGATGGAAGAGCGGTCAGTTTCATGGTTCCATTGAGTTGCCCGTGGCACAGGCTCGCAGCTCAAGTCTTGGTTTGAGGTGCGTCAGGAAGAATGTGGCCGCACACATCAATGAAGAACCAGCCGCATCCAAAGGCTATGTAGGTTCTTGCGATGAGGGATGCCCTTCATTCTTTATGGGGTCACTTGTTGGGGTGAATAGGTGGGACCCCCAATTTGAGACATAGCCACAGCTCTCCATTGATGCGAAGTACTGACCTCGGACCAGCCAGATACGGCTCTGAGTTGCTCCAAATGCCAAACACCACATAGGCGGCAAGGCAAAGCTGAGAAGAAATCTACGCAGCCGTGGAAAGCCTATCCGAATCGCCTAGAGATCCTCCACTGTGCTACCCTCAACCTGTTATGGCCCAGAATATGACTTTGCGCTGAGTGGTGCGGGTCTCACTATTGCCGGACCCAAGCCCTGCGGTGAGGGGGAGCTTTTGGGAGTGCGAAGGAAAATGAAAGGCATCCGAGTGCATTGCTCACCGTCCCCTGGCTCGTACATGACTCAGCAATCTGGCACTTCCCTTCCCTTAAGCAGAAGTTTCTCGGGAGATCTGTTTTGGGCTCTCATGGGATGTGGGCTGGCATGCTGATTAACTTGGAGGAGGGCTCTTATCTCCTCTGGAAGCTCTGAGTAAATTTGAACAGGATTATTAGGACCTTTAGGCAATCCAAAATCTTCTTGCGCGCTTTTTACCACCTGCGCTCCTCAAAGCCTAGGGATAGCATAGTCATAAATAGTTACAAGAGAACATAAAGAAGTATGAGGTATCCGTAGCCTCAGTTAAACTACCTCGAACATGTGCAAGTGCTGACCCTTAACCCAAGTACCCTAAACTCTGAACCCTTAGAACTTCACCGTGGCGCTTGGGGCCAGGCCCGGTACTAGCGAGACTCCGGGTGGAGAGAAGCCGCTTGCGCGCGAGGCCTGAGAGAGTACTGGAGTTTCTTAATGTGAGCTATAGTCTAAACTCCCTAAAATTGAACCGAGGATGAAAGAAAGGAGCATTGTAGGTCTTATTAAGGGGGATGCTAGGAGAATTTCTAGCAGTTTTTCACTACAGCTCGTGTGGGGTTTACACAGGGTTTAGGCCCTATGAGGGAATCCGCCTCATTTCTAGGATCCCCAGTGTAGGCATTATAAAGGGGGGTCTGCCCTTAGAATTCTTTGGCAGGGTGTTGAGAGTGTTGAGAAAGCTCTATAGATGCATTTCAACCCCTGTTTCTTGATATCAAATTAAAACCTGGCCCATAGAGGCATCAAGATACCTAACCAATCTGTGAGCTCTGATAACTGGAAGTATAGCGGAAATGAGAAGAGTGTTCGTACAGCAGAATACCAAAGGAGTAGAAGCACACCACCACTAAATTGGAAGGATCAAGTATGAATACGAACTCTAACAAGGGTAGGCGGCAGGACGTTCTCGTAGAAATAGCACCATTTATACCACATGGGATACTGGAGGTCATACTTTTTGCCGAAGAATAGTGGGATGCCTGACACAACCCCAGAGATTTGGTAGTTTCCCAACATAGGGGGACCCCAAGATGAAGGTAGACCCCCAGATACCATAGGGTTTAGGGTTTAGGGTTTATATGGACCCCCCCCCCTCAATATTATGATCCTTATCATACGGACCCCAAAATACCACAATCCTTAGTATATGGACCCCCAAGAAGGCGCCCCTCGTTTTGGGAAACCCTAACCCCTATAATCCCGTATATAGTCCCGGTTTCCATTTCATTTTCCATTTTCTTTTCCACTTGATTCTCCATTATAGCAGGCACCCCTCTTTTTGGGAAATCTCCATTTCCAGGTGGCCACTGCCTCGCGTGCAAACTCTGCAAGCCCTCGCTATGCGTGCTGTCCTCATATGAGCTATAGTCTGAACTCCTTAAAGGGACTATATACGGGACTACTAAGGGGTTATTAAGGGGATGCTGGAAGCTTAGACTATGGCTCATGTCAACGTGTCCACAGCGGTTGCTACAGATTTTGGACACATTTCCATCAGGGCTTCAATAGAGAGGAGTACACATCCCAGTGCTGCGCAAACGTATAATAAGTCTCTGAAGAGATGAGCATTTTACATGAAGGAGTTGGTTACTCTAGGTTTTGTGTCGAAGCCTCCTTCATCTCACAAGTCTGCACCAAGCCCACTTTAAGCCCAGGCCATTTCGCTACGGGGCGTCGATCGTTCGGCAGCAGCGGGCAGCGCACCAAGCCAAGGGGCAAAACTGTGGATGAATGCATGCAGATAGTGCGAATAGCTCAAGAAAGATGATGGGCCAAGTGGTCCCAGTCTCCTCAGACTGCTGCTCAAAGTTGTTGAAGGATAGATCCTAGGTCCTAGCCGCTTCCATGTTGCAGCTTCCTCTTCCTCAGTTGGCTCAGGGTGAGTTTGTATTTCGAGCAGAAACACCGAACCCTCTGTTAGAATTTGTGTTTCAGAGTGTGGCGAGATCACACAGAGACCCTTGGCAAACTCACATTGACCTTGATCGGGACATGCGCTGCAAAGATCTGCCAAAGTGGACTTACACTCAGTGGCTTGGAGCGTGCCAGGGGACTGGCGGCAGCTATTATGACGGCTCTAGGCCTGCGTCTCAGAGAGAGGGGCGAGGGTAGGCTTTGCTCGCAAGGATCATTGAAGAAGACAGCTTTCAGCGGCCTACAACACAAACTTTTCTGCTGACTATGCACCAATATTTTTTCTGTTCATTTTCCATTACTCAGCTCATGAGATGGACTTGCAAGTCTGGTAGGGCAGTTCTGAAGGTGCTTGGGCTATTGTGGCATTGCAAAGCTGAGCCACAATGTTGCAAGTGCATGGTGGATTAGAAGAGAACGTGTGCTATCAGCTCTCCTGATGTTGGGCTAGGTGTTTCGCTTGATTGCTTGACCTCTTGGCTGTTGCCATCATGGTTTTTGGTGTAGTTGATGCTTGTCAGCCGTTTTGGGTGTGTGCGCGGCCTATGCCCAGAAAAAAGGATGGAGAAGCTGTGAGAAGCACTTGATTTGATTTGCAGATCCTCGGGTGTCTCTCCAAGGCCTCGCACAGCCGACCCCGATTCGCGTGCGGAGCCCTTTTAGGAACTTTTCAGAGAAGAGCGAAACTATTATTGCAGCCTTTGACAAAGAATTTCTAAGGATTCTTGCTGTCGCTTCGATGCCTCCTGGTAGACAATACCCCAGTAGGACCACACGTGCTGCAACATTACCAGCTCCAACTGCACCGCCAGCAGGCTTTTCAGGTCATTGCGCCACCGTCACCACCAGCGCCACCACCGCCGCCAGCGCCAGCACCGGCACAAGTGCCGCCGCCACAATTACAGGCACCAAAGGCGGGCGCCGCCGCCGCCGCCACTACTTCTGCTGCTGCTGCTGCTGCTTGCCGACAACGCCTACATTGCTCCCCCTCTTGCCGCTGCTGGGGCGACGGGGAGCACCGATGCCAACAATGATGAGACTTCACTTCTCCGCCCCTGCTCCTGCTGCTTCTGCTCCTGCTGCTGCGGTGTGTATATGGTTGTGGTTTTGAACGTTCCTGTAAAGGCCAAAACTCCGGCTCGCTCCAGTCCTCCTCACAGTTGAGACCGCAGACAGCCAAGGCCCAGTGACAAAGTCTGTACAGTAGGCAGGACTTGCTGAATGATGTTCCAAGCTTCAAGGGATAGTGGGGTAGAAAAAAAGTGCTCAGACTGGGCATGTTGTCTTGAATTTCATGTCTGCCTGAGGTGTCAAGTGGGAAGAGTTCCCGGTCTCAAGGCTCCTCAGGCCAGCTGGGCTGTGCAAAGAGAGCTCGCATTTGCCTTGTAGTTTGCCAGCCCCGCACGTACTGCGGCTACAATGTTGGCAGGAGCTGCTGCTTTACAATTTCAGTGTTCGCACGTCCTTCTTGGTGCTGCTAGCGCTGCTAGCATGTCAAGGTGGCCAAAGATCTCTGGATTCGCGAGACCCGGCCCCAGATGCTGACATGCACGTGTGATTGGGCCTTTGCTTTGCTCCTGTGGCTAAGGCGTATGTTGAGCCACCACCGATTGAGCCTATCCCGCCCTTCGTGCCGATTAACACCTTAAATTAGTCCGGCTGCATTTTGGTTGGCCCGCAAGGAGACGTACACTTCCTTGTATGGCCTTTGAACTCCCTTTATGGTATGTGGACATCATGGATTATTGCTGAACCATGC